GTACATATTCAGAGAAGACAGAGTGATGGAACACCTGAACAAAAATGTGGTAGATTATTCCCTTAAAATCTTTGTATCAGTGCTTGATGTCTTTCCAGTAAATGTGGTAGTGCCAAAGAAGCTACGTCTCAACACAGGAATAACTGCAATAAACTTATATACTATATATCAGGTCACCTGATCTAGTAATTGGTTTTTGTTCATAATTTCTTTGCACCATTTAATCAACTTAGAAATTCACGAGGAAAAGAAGGAAAATATAACTGATTGAAAATAAACACAGTAAAGATTATTGACACAGTATTAGCCATACATTTAAAAAAATAACTAAAATGAAGTGCTAAATAGGTGAGGTTTTTTCATATTTCATTAGTTAACTGGGGGGGGGGAACTGGCTTTTTTTTTAACCCAGGTAGAATACTGAATAGTTAGAAGTGGTTTTTTAATCATGGAAGATGGTTTTTTTCATGCTTATCATAGTAAATAGCTTGGAAATGCTTCTAAAAATACTTATACATTTGTATTACTCTTCATCTAAACACCCTGATAGAAGAAGAGAAATGTAAGACAGAAAGTATGTCTCAAGAATCAAAAGGTTATGAGTAAACCAGTGTGAAGTAAAGTCACAAACAATGACAAAGACCATCACCTTCCATCCAGCCCTGTGGTAATGTAGAGGAGAAGGCAAGACTCCATGTGAAAACAGAAAAAAAATCACAACTGCCTTAAAAAGACAGACTAATGGTTAATATACTTCAATATTCTACAGTGCTTGGTAATATATTCTAAAAAAAAGGTAAGTATTAAATGCTACTTTCTTCTCCCATTTTCCACCGCTTTATTCAGGGACTTCCTATGACAAATGCCGTGTTTTATATTTATCATTTCTGAGCAAAGTTTCAGGGTTTTTTTAATTTTTACAGCTTTTTTTTTAATCTGACACACATATTGACCATCCACAACATTCGCATCAGTTATTGTTAGATATATTCTGATTGAATCAAAGAAAAGACAGATACTACAGTCATTTCAGAAGGCAGTGGTATGACTTACATACAGTCACATAAAGATTAACACAACTGTGTATTCTTCGTATCACATCACTATGTTTTCCTTTTTTCCAATTCCAATTGTACTTCCACGTTGAAATTAAGAATGTGTAGAGCTTGAAAGCAGAATACAGTTATCATGCTCGTATAGACCAGTTATCTTCTTACAGATGTAGTCTGCCTACCAGCAAATTCTGATATCAGGTGGGTAGGTTGGCTGGAAAACAGGACCCCAAGGTTCACATGGTTGTGATTAGTTATATGAAGTCTAACTGGTAACTTTTAGTTGCTCACTAGTGGTGTTTCTCAGGAGTTGAGACTGGAAATGAGAAGGCTTAACACTTTAATAATGGCCTGGATAATGAACTCAAATATGTTCATGTCATAGGTGACACAGTTTGGTGAAGGAGGGCTATAGTATCTTGATGGACTGAGGAAATGGGCTGACAGGAGCTTTATGAAGTTTAGTAAAAGCAAATGGAAAGTCCTGCACCTTAGCTGGGATAAACCCACAAAAAGGTTGGGGTTCAGCTGGAGAGAAAACAGCTCTGAAGGACAGGACCTGGAAGTTCTAACATGCTACAGATTGAACATGAGACAAAAACTTTCCCTTCTAGCAAAGGCAGTCAAATAAACTCTCTATGGTACTAGTAAGAGTGTAGCCAAGAGGTCCAGGGCAGTGATCCTTTTTTGTACTCCTTTCTGGGCTGGTGAAACATGCTCTGTGAGGGCCTGCCCTGACCCCCATGTCTTCCAGCTCCTGGTCCCAGCTGTCCTACACGACATTGACAAACCTAACCAAAGTACAGCCAAAATAATTGGCACATATCTTTCTGCTCTTGTTGTTGCTCATAATTGTAACTGTAGTTGCTAAAGAGCACCCCATTTACATCAAGTGGAGCTCTAAATTTCAGCTTTCTATTTTGGCTGAGTTAACAATTCAATTGTTTTTTTCTTCCTTTCTCAGTTTTCCGTTCTCAGTTTTTGCCATGTTGTTTACAAGTTCAAACTAAATTGATCATGCAAGTATCAAATAGCTCACTGTAACACATAACATTGAAAATCCATGATACATGAATTTCTAGATGTCAAGCCTGTTTATAAAAATAAATTCTATATTTATGCTAATGAAAGTCCTGTATGTAATTTCGTGTCTTAAAGTCTACTCCCGAAATGTTAAAAAGGGAACTAGTTATCCAGCTGAGGCATATACAAGAATCAGCTGCCAAACACAATGACTTATTCAGTAAGAAGGCCAGACTGGACGAAAAGTTATTCTATTGTCTAAAATTTAATTTAATTACATTAAAATTGCATCAATAATTTATTATCTTCAACGTGCTTTGCCAACATTACTTAAGTCTATGAGAAGTATAAGTTTTACGATAACTCTCTTTATAGAGAAAGTGAAACAAAATCACTTAACTGGGCAAGTGCCCAAAGACATTCTATCAAAAGCAGGATTAAAACTCAGAATTTCTGTCAACACATTTGTCAAATATGCAAATTTGCTGAGTGCCAGTCAAGTGCAAAGCCCTCAAATCACTGCTGGTGATGATTTCAATGTTAAGGAAAACAAGGGATGTATGCCTATAGTACATTTGTTCAGAATTCATCTGCATCAGTAGTATTTCTGCCACTGTTCTTGAAGACAAGGATTTGAAACTTAAAATATTATTTGAAGCTTATCAAATGATTTATCTTATGATAAACTCCTGTGATGTGTGCCAGGCAAATGTGAATCAGGGAATTATCTTACTAGACTGCAATATATTGCCACTTTGTTATTGAAACATCAAATAAATGACATCAATAAATGTCTAATAAACCTTTCAGTTTTGCCTCAGTTTCATGGATTATGGATCATTACGCTGTTGTGATTGCTGACCTTTGATGATACTCTACCTTGTTGTATAGATTCAAGGTCAACCTATTAAAACATTCACTGAATAAGAGAAAGTTGAGATAACCATAAATATTTTTGAAGGATACTTTACATGTATTTTCATAGAATAGAAAGTCACTCTGAGGGCAAAAGGCACCTCCCCATACCCTCTTCCCCACAAAATCTGCCACTAACAAAGTTTTCAAACTCAAAGCTAACTTAAAATTTGATCTTACATTGTGGGATGAAAGAGAAGTTTCAACTCATCCAAAAGGAGCAGATCAGAGCCTTGGATTTTATTCTGCATGTATTACTCTCCTTTTGTAAAATGAAATTATTAAATAAAAAACTGTCAGACTCTCTCTAACTTAGGACTTTTTGATTAGTGTTTAGAAAGCCTTAGTTTTATAAAACTAACTCCAACTACAAGTATTTTCCAAGTAGTTCCAAGGGTTGATACCTTTCTAAGTCAACAGCAGCTGTAAGGTGTACTGTGAAAATTTCAGAACGATACTTGTCAAATCTATAGTAAAAAGCAAAGGGTGTCATTTCTTGGAAATAAAAACAAATCCATTGCTTAAATTTCATGTTAATGTTTACTTTATCTGCTTTGAATTATTTTTAAATTAATGTGTTATTGTTTTTCAGATATTTTCATTTACCAGCATCTCTTTGATTTTCTAGAGATAAAATTAGGGGTTTTTTCTAATACATAATTTTACTTTTCTTTTAATGTTGATTTCTTATATTAATTTCTTTTTCTTTTAAGAGAACTCTGCTAGTTTCATCAAAAGTTTCATTAGATCGTTCCTGGGCAATATCAAGGAAGTCAAGAATTTTTACCCATCTGAAGGGAGCTTCACTGTGTTCCTACTTCTGTCACTCAACACAGCTTTTAATTGACATGAGGTATTGAGAGTTGTACAAATATCTCTAACTAGAGCCAATTTTTGACCTTCGGTTTCCAGTATCTCAGGTCCTAGCAATGTCACTATTAGCTATCCTGTCAAGGCTTACTTTTTAACTAAATGGAACATCTGCTGTGATGCCAAAATAATTTTTTTAAATTTGTTTATTTAGTCAGCTGTAGCATTTCATTAGTCTTAATGCATTTACAACTAATCTACAGAAGATAGGCAGAACATTTTTGTGAAAAATAGGAAATAGGAACCAATAATCATTTTTCTAGTTTAAGCTTCAGTTTAGAGCAAGATCACTATTAAGTCAAAACTTGTATTTTTGTGAAAAATGCTGACTGGTTCATACAGTTTCTGGGTAACCTGAGGACATGTATCTGGGCAAAAATATAAATAAATATATGTTAATAATTCAATATTTTTTAAGAACATGACCTTGACTTCATGCTTAACGTGAGTGGAAGGGCAAAATTTGAAATTTTGGAGCAAGAAAGAAGAGTGTCTTCTAATTTCAAGGGGAAAGGACTCCCAGTATGTTTTTCTGTACTCAAACAATGGATCAGACTTACAAAATCAGTTTTCTATAATGGCTGAAACCATGTACTAAAGTCGAAAACCTTTCCTAGCCAATCAAAGAAAGGACATCAACAAGATTAATCTGTCTAATGTGCCTAAAATGAAAATGTCATTCTTGTATTCCCAGTATTACACTAAAGCAAACATACTTGTCCATTGCTACCAAAATAAATATGTTTCTAGATGATGAGAAAATAAATAAATTTACATGATCTGAATCTGTCTTGGTGAATATCCAAATGACATATAAGACATGACTTACAGTCTTATGAAAAAGGAGACAGTCAAAAGTACTTTTTTTCTTCATAAAGTCTAATTGACACATATTTGGGACATTCAATGTACTTAAAGAATATACAGAGAGAGACAGAGACATGACTGAATTTCAGTCTTCCAGTGAATGAAGTACAGTTGCTGCTTGACAGAGCACTAGCATCAGTACCCTTTAGCTAGGAATACTCTAAATTATCTGAAATTATATAGAGGGCTTAGCTTGTTAAAGTTGTGCTCCCAGTGTGAATCCAGAGTAACAAGTAACACCTCTACTTAAATGATAGTGGTAATGTATATTACCTGTATCCCTCTTTGAGCCTTAGCATCATAACTCCATGAAAGATGGCTCCTTGATATCATGGTACAATACCTGTTCAGTTCAAATATTAAGGAAAGTTTTCAACAAATTATCTACATTTTGAAAAGTATTAGAAATTGTGGTTGGAATGCATATGCTTACTTTTTGGTATTACAGAAAATATAATTAGACTAATTTACATGTTTATCAAATTAATGTTTCAAGATAATTTTCATTATATTACCATTCATATATAAATATCAAAACACTTTTTTTAATAATGCTGATTTTTTTTGATTAATGATGTAAACAAAACAATAAGTGAACTAAATTTTCAAGAACTCTTCTCAGATCAAGTTCTATGCATTTCTTTTTAAAATAAAACAATCCTTGAAAACATTATATTGATCAGAGAAATCTTGGAAGGATGCTACATTGTAAAGAAATAATAATACAAGATGGCAGTCATTCATATGTCTCAAATTTATTTTAGATTAAAAAAATGTAACAGAAATCCATTTTAATATTTTTAAAAGAGGTACTGATGTTTTTATGGTTAATGAAGAAAAAGCTGTGCTCATTTTTGTTAATGAGACAGATATGCTAAATCACAATGCTGTTGTAAGTCTGTTTATTCAAACAATGGTGGTGAATTAACTTACTTGAAATAAAAAGCGTTCAAGCCCTCAAGGATGGCAGAGCAATTTAATGCTGTGTAAGATTAGCTTTCTGAAAGCACACTGTGGAGGTCCTGAGGGTCTTATAGCTCACTTGTACCAAACTTTTAATATCCTCATTTAAATTTCTTCAGACTTAATAATATGCCCTAAAGTAAGAATTTGCTATTTAGGGAAAATATAAATACAACAATTATCAGCTCAGTACTACCCTTGAAGACAATGAGCATACATACAATCATCCTGCTGGGTCTGCTAGGAATTAGTAAGTCTGGGGGACTTTTCAGACATCCTTGCACTGCTCTGTGGACAGATGCTGTTAGATACAAGTAAACTGTCCATATGAGTATCCTCTTCAAGTCAGGCACTGCACAAATACAACTGGACCTTTTAAAGGTGGAAAAAGATTCACATCCAGTTAGTTTTAAGCACATTTATAGTAATGACACACATTCTAGTGAAAACAGGTCTAACAAAATGTACAGAGTAATGAGTACTGTGGATTAAAAAAAAAAAAAAATAAAGCCAAACCTGCTCTTGGTTAGTATGTACTTTTAATGTTACTTCTCTGAAAGATATCCAATATACTGTGTGTCCATGTGCCTACTGAGGCTACCAGGTAATGGAAAAAGAGTGAAACATTTCAGCCTCTAGTGACCTAGTATATCACTTCATGGGGTCAAATATTTTAAGCTAAACAAAAGTTTTGAATCTTTTTTGATCTGCATAATTCTGAGTGGAAAAAATACCGCTCAAATATACAGTCCAAATGCCTACTAATAGGAAGAAAATATTTTGTTTACTTGGTTTTGTCTCGTTTGGTTTTTTTTGGAAAAATGGTACATGAATTCACTGGTCTAGAAAAGAATGGTATCATAAGCAGTCCTACAAGCAATGGTGTGTATTTACCAATTGTTAATGAAAGAGTCTTAAAAAATTTCTCTTTCATAATCCATAGTTCTACATACCCAAGACTTCCAAAGATTAAATATGTCCTCAGTAGAAAAAAGAAGAGAAGAGAAGAGAAGAGAAGAGAAGAGAAGAGAAGAGAAGAGAAGAGAAGAGAAGAGAAGAAGAGAAGAGCAAGTTTTATGCAGGCAGGTAATAGGACAGAGTGGAATGCCTTTGGATTGAAAGAGGTCAGGTTTAGTTTATACATAAGGAAGGGTGGTGAGTCTCTGGAATAAGTTGCCCAGAGAAACTGTGGATGCCTCATCCCTGGTAGTGTTCAAGGCCAGGTTGGATGGGGTCCTGATCAACCTGATCTTGTGGGTGGAAAGGTGGTTTGAACTAGATGATCTTTATAGTGTCTTTTAACTCAAGCCATTCTATGATTCTATGAATATTAAGAACGATTGTGCAATATAGTAAAGTCCCTTAACGTTACAGGAAAGGTAATTAATACAGAAACCTATGAGAGATAATTTATACTTATTTATTTATATTCTCTGAGGAATTAGTTACCTGGCAATATCTAACCTATTCAAAATATTTAGAAGAGCCACCTCTCCTAAGATTGTTAAGAAGAAAAGAGAATAGTTTTGTTAATGATCAATTAAAAATGAGTTTATAAATGAGCTTTAACAAATTCAGAACTACTCAAAGTTTAGTGTTTTGAGATGTTAAAGGCTTATATATGTAAACTACTATTCTTTTGACTTTTTGAAACACAGCTTTGAATGCTATTAAATCTGGATGGAAGTGAAAACAAATCTCAGAAAATAAACTTACTGAAATATAAAAAAAGAAAGCTTAATTTAAAGAAGTTCTGTTCTACCATAATAACACAGTCTTAAATATATTATATATTGATTAAAAAGATTAGACATTAAAGAATTGAAATTTAAACCAAGAGCAACTCATGAAGATACATAAAAGGAAACAGTAAAGGGTGAAAGGAGCTTTATTCAGTACCAGACAAACCTACAAAGGATGTGGTAGACAACAAAACTTTGATTTGATGCTAATTGGTACTGGATACATGTACTAGAGATTTTCAATTTATGGAAAGCTGAGACTGTAAACAGCATGGGTACATGACTCTTACAAGCAGGAACCAGTGGACTTGCAAGAAGGTAGAGGGTTCCATTTTGTGAGTGTGCACCACAGATAGGCTGCCTTGCCTCACACTGTGTTGTATTCAGCCATTCTTGCTTTTCCTGTGAGGTTTGTTATAACTCATTTTATATCACCACTTTGAGAGGGTCCTTTGTCTGCTCTGATTGTCATATCAACTCCTGTAAAATGAGTCCTCTATCCCAAAGTGGGACTAATCCACAGCTTCGTTGGAGCACACTAATGGCACTGCAACATGTTTGCCTTCTGCCTTGGGCAACCATGTCAGCACAGTAGCAACAAGCAGCATCTATCGGTGACACTGTTCTAAGAAGAAGCTCTACTCTATACCTGAACTTAGCTGTTCAGAGTCAGTGGTACACTACCCCAAATTGGCAGGTCTGTACTTGTTAAAAAGAGAGGGGGAAAAAGGTGAAAATTAAACTGAACTGCTACCATTTACCTCCATTGTCTGGTTTATTAGAATAACGATGCCTTGTTGCACAGGGTCACTATGCAAAATATGGGGAAACTGTAAGCAGAAGAAAAACTGCAGGATTAGAAAAAATGTGTTCTGTGCATAAGAAAATGGAAAATGACCAGCATAGCAACAAGAGTGGCTGTCAAGAAGAAAACTAAAATGGTTCATTTAGAAGCTTGCAACCTCAACTTCCATTTCTGCTAATGGTCAGTTCAAGGACTGAGAAATTATTTGGAAAATAACATCAACTGTTCCTGATCCGTGTTACCTTTCAGTAGTGCTGTGAGCAGTCACATCAGGCTTTGCCCAAGCAAACCTCCCAGCTTCTCTGACTATACTGGTAGCACACATATCTACATATCCAGACTCCCCAACAGTTATGCTTCAGCAACTAAGAAGCAGTTTATAGGATTTTTTTTTTGTTTCTGTGGACAGCTATCACCACTGTCAGATGCCTAGCAAAATACATGGTGGCTGAGTTCACATCACCTTCCTAGAGTAGGACAGGGAAACAACCCTCTATAACAGTGGTGCTGGTCTAGACAAGATTAATGAAGCCTTTATGTCATTGTTACTTGGCAGGGCACTTAGATTCTTACTACCATGGCTCATAAAGTTCACAAATGCAACCTCATCTATCACTGAACATCTTTAGTTACCACCTAAGGAGTTGCCAGATGGCCAGGGAATAAGTTTTTCATGGAGGAATGGACTTAAATCACTCTTCTTTACTTAGTCTCATTCTTATTTGGTATTTGCAAAAGCAAAAGGGACACATAAAAAAGAACAAGAGCAGAAGATAATGTAAGGCCATGGCTACTACCTGTGCCAGCTGAGTCTAGTTTGCTCATCTGTGTGAATCAAAAAATCATAAGGGATATCCTGGTTGAAAATTTTATGTAAATTTTTGACAGCTCTTTGCCTACATTGGGAAATTTCATAGATAGCAGATGCAAGTCATTAAAAAGTCCCTATAATTTTTTTTCCCATTTCCTTCTGTCCTCTGATGTCTGTGAATGCTCACAGTGCAGCCTCTGGCAGCCACTGGCCTGAAGCTTCTGCCTGTAGCTGGGAATCCAAATTCAGCTGTATTTTAAATCCCTGCAGCCTTTGGGATCCAAAACCTGCATTTGGCAGCTCCAGAGTTTTTTTCCCAGCTCTGGTCTTTTTGTCATTGATACCGACTTACTCTGAAGGGCCAAAAAATATGATTACACTTCCACAGTGAGCAATGAACCATATAAGGCTCTATTAAAAACAAATGCACAGTATAAAATGGATAGCAAAGCAGAATAAATTCATTTGAAGCAGTTACTGTTTTGGATTTGCTAATAGCAGGTGACATATCGATGAAATGACATCAGTCAAGAGCATGAGTCTTTCAGGCTTCCATTGTCCTAACACGAGAGGTAATTTGGGAGCTTCTGGACATGCAGTGACCTCTTATAGAAGTGATTTGTGGGCTGCAAAAGGGTGGGGTGGCAAAGGTACTGAAGAATCAGCAATGGAGTTGAGTCTGCAGTAACATCGGCGTTATGTAGTAGAGTATTTTATGAAAAACTGTGATTAAAACTTTGAGTCCACAACGGCCTTCTGATCTTAACAAGGAGGGTAGATGATGCATGACTATAAAAAAAAAAATTGATGATGTGCCCTAATGACTGTCTCCCCATTGTGAACTCATGCATACTGGAACTGCCAAGATCCTTCTTATTTCTGTACCCTCCTCTCCTTCTTCTACCTATGCTTGATTGTGATATGCTTTCCATCCTAACTGAGCTGGAAAGCTGCCTGGTTTAATTTTCTATTTTTTTTTTTAAATAAACAAAAAAAATAAAAGTATTCAATATACTCTTTCCATCAAGACAGAGAAATACCCTTTCCTTATGGCTATAAAGCATCTCCAGCTTTTTTGGAGATGTTAAAGGCATGTGTTCTGTTGGTGGAAGCAGCAAGAAAGAGTAGGAAAAATATTGAAACAAGAGGTTAGACAAGGGCAGCTTGGTAGAAGTGCACTGGGATAGTGTCTATTTGAAAGTGTTAATGTATCTAGGAACCTGAATCCCTTTTCAGCTATTCTGAACTAGCAGTTCTTGGAGGAATTAAATCCATTCGTGGTGATATTTTTGGGTTTGTAATAGGGGCTGCAAGACTGTAAGGAAAACCATATGCTGCATTATCACTGAGAGACTGGAGGGATAGCAACAGCAACAGTCATTGGAAGTAATTGGTGGATCAACAAAAGTTAGTGATGAAGCAACTAAATTTTCAGGTTGCTAGAGTCTGACAAAACCTTGCAGGTGAAAATATTATATGCTGAAAAATTAAATTTTGACTTATTGCAATTATTTTTAGAATTGGATTGAAAATCTTTATGCTTCCTGTTAGAAAAATATCAAACTATTGCTTAAACATATTCATTCTCTGTTCAGAATCTTCTTTCTTGAACGATTATTTCCTTTTTGGTTCATTTTTCACCCTAGAAAAGGATCAAGGACTATTCTGATTAGAAAAAAATAGAAGATTGGATATAGGATAGAGTTTTTTAAATTTATTTTTAATGGTGATGTCAAAACTGAAATGCTTGTGCAAGAGTACTTGTTGAAAATAAATGAAATTTGAGGTTATATTTTTTTTGCTATTTTGAGTGAAGCCTTATTAAAAGTCTGATCTTTTGGGCAGATTTTATTTTGCCAAAATTATTTTAAATGGCTTCATTTGGCTCATTTCAGTATGAAGCAATAAGAGAAGAATAAGGGAATTAAAATCCCTGAAAATTAATACATTCTTCATACAGCTCAAGTAAAGCAAAAACATAAACCACAGAATCAGTCAAGTCAGTCATTCTGTC